ATATATATATATATATACACACACACACACATATATTATATATGTAAAATTTAAAAATTAAACTAATTGGCACTTGATATACCAAGAAGTTTGTATGGACCCGAATAGTAAATGTAGGTTTGGATAAGCCTGAGCATCACTTGTATGAGCTGGGTAAAAAGAAAAGCTAGTTCCACGTTTCTTTTACTCTAGAAATTCAACTAGATCCTCCTTCTTCAAGAAACACCTACGCCCTCCTCCCCACTTTGCAGACTCGGGCGCTCAGCCTGAGCTGATGCTAGTAGCAGCCGCCTAGCACTTGGACTTGAGTTTCCGCCGGCCGGCGGGAACAGTCCGGGGACAGTCCCTCACCCCCAGGCTCCTGCTTCCGGCTTAGGCCCCGCCCTCCTGGCTCCACTTCTTCCGTCCGTTGGCCCCGCCCCTCGACGTAGTCCTCATACGAATGCGGGCGCCGGAGCTGGCGGTTGGGGTAGCTGCGGCTCCTAACCACCCAAGGGGCGGGTTGGCGTTGCGGCCAGACCGACTGTGCAGTTTTGAGATCAGCGCGGCTGCGGCCTTTACAGGTGGGCGGTGGATGGTGGATAGGGCGGGTCTGCGGCTGGAGGTGGGCGGGTTAGGCGCGCTAGATCCGGCTCCGGTCAGCGGTGATCGTCGTCCCTCAGCTGGCGGGGGGAGACCGAGTCTCCGAGACGCGTAGGCCGCGGCCAGAGTCTTCCATTGCCTTTCGCGGGGCTCGTAAGCCGCGCTTTAAATTTGAGTTTGGGTTCCAGATAGAGCTGTTCGTGGAAACTGGCAGGAATTTTGCGTAACGCTTCTTCGGAGGCGTTTTTTTGGCGTCCATATTGAAGAAAGGCTGGTAGCTCCCACTGTGGAGTTGGCGTTTTACAGGTAAAACCTAAGGTGTTATTTAAGCTCGTGTAGTTAAAAGACTCAGGTTGATCAGGGAAATCAGTGGATTTGATAGCGGTATTTAGAATTGAATTTATTTTTGGTCCTCGCGACGGTTCCTGGGTGTTCGGAAATGAACTTGGAGAGCAAGCTGCCCCTGGAAGCCATTTCTTGGCAGCGCACGCACTGGGACGCGGCCGCCCAGAATCCCAGTGGAACTCGAAAGGGAGTTAGGCTGGGTACAGTGTACTGTATGGTTCATCACCATGGTATCAAGTTAGATCAGATTTAAAAACTTAATATTAGTTTCTGAGCAGAATTAAGTCCTTACTTAAATAAACGCTTTGCTTTAAAAAATCTGAAAACGGGTCCCGGTTTAGGTGGTCTGAATATTAGAAAGAATCTAAAATTAGATATTCCAGGAGTTCTGAATTGAGGTGTAGGTATGTGATCTGGGGAAAGTCACTCGCTGTCAGTGCTATCATTCTGTAAAATGGGGTTGATCGTAATGATTATGATTTTCTCACAGATAATGGTAAATTCTAAGTCAGTGTTGGCTCTATAAGAGGTATACGAAGTTAAGATTTTTGTCTGCAGTACAGTTACTAATCTCCCCTCCCCAAATTAGTGACGGGAAATCTTAAGTCATCACATTTTTTCTGTAAGTATGTGTAGTGGATCTTAATCTTTAGATTCACTGATCAGAAATTTTTCATGTTCACCTAAATTCAACTTAACTCTCTTACGAACTCTCCAAGGGCAGGATTAATGTCTTACTCATTTTATTATTAACTACAACTTGTATATCGCTTAGCCCATTTGTTTTAGTTTCCTTCCTTTTTTTTTTTTTTTAACCTGAACTGGCAAAAACCTAAGCTTTGGGATTCACCAAAAGCAAATCAAAACAGTTTTACATGGAAAATCTTGTTTTCTATCCTCAGAAGTTATATTTTAGTTCAGCTATGTAAACACACAGCGGTGGTTAGTTTAGTTAGGTAAAAGCATTAGTTTAAAAATATAATTAACTTACTAAGTATATGTACCATTTCTGTGCTAGGCAGAGAGGAGACAGCAGCTGCTTTGACCCATCTGGGGAACCCACAAAATGTTGATGAACCCTGTGCCTCACTTCAGACTGATTTATCTCTGGAGGGTGGGAGCACAGGCATTTTGCTGATTGAAGCTCCTCAGGTTTCTCTGCTGTGCAGCCAAGATGAGAACCCCTGCATTAACAGGAATGAAGGTCTTCCACAGTGTCTGGTTTGCTTGAGTACAGGAAGGTTTGGCGCTCCATTTGGAAAATGTAGCCTCGGGAATTTGAGGCAATAATACAAGTTTTTGTTTTGTTTTGTTTTGAGTCAGAGTCTCACTTTGTTGCCCTGGGTGAAGTGCCATGGCATTCTAGTTCACAGCAGCCTTAAACTCTTGGGCTCAAGTGATCTTGCCTCAGCCTCCCAAGTAGCTGGGAATATAGGCACCCACCTCAAAGCCCGGCTGTTTTTTTAGAAACCAGGTCTTGCTGTTGCTTAGGCTTGTCTGGAACTCCTGAGCTTAAGCAATCTACCCACCTTGGCCTCCCAGAGTGAATATCAGAGTATTTTTATCAAGATCCATTGAATTCTATATTGATCAAGGCCAGTGGGCAGGCTATTAGAATGATTCAGAAGAAAAGTGCCATAGTGGTGCTAGAGAAGAGATAACATTTCACTTTAGGGATGTTAAATATTTTTGAAGAAAGTGAGTAATGATTTTAACTTGCTAACTGTATTTTGCCCTACTTAGTTAAAAATTTCTTCATCCGTGAGTGGATAGGTTGTTTTACAAGAATTTTATTGTTGTACATTATTAAAAAGTATGTTAGAAGGATATGTGCCTAAAGTAATTTTCCTTGTTAATTGTGATCTTTTTTCTTTCTCTTAATAGTCTTATTAATACTGAGTTTTTGTTGTTTTTGCTTTTCCAGTATTATAAGATCGATATTAAAGACATGGTTTTCACTTCACTTCATCAGCATACATAAGTTTTTGCTTCTTTTTGGACTCCCTATTTTATGCCATAATGGTAAGCTATAGCTTAGTAGTTCCAGTTTGTGCTTTAGAATGTTCTCTTCCTTCATCATCATAAATATATTTGTGAGGTGTACAGAAATATTCTTACCAGCTGTGCAATTTACCCTAATTGGGAAATTACATAGCAAGTAATTTGAATACAAAATTGTATACAATTGTAATTGTATACAAAATCTTCTCCATAAAATGTGTGGCTCATCTCTCAATTCAACCTTGTAATTATTATATCGAAGTTACTCAAATAATCCATGTCCTTGTATTTATGAAGCATTAAAAAAATTATTTCTATCTGCCATATTCCAAATCATTAGCAAAGAGGATGAGTGTAAATAGAAAGCATTTGACGAGGGGCGGGGAAGGGAGGCTGTCATAGTTTTCTCATATTTTAAAGCACCTCTTTATTTAGATTTTTAAAAACTACTAAAACAAATTTAACCTGCTTATTCCCCATAACATGTTTTAAGCAACATCTGTGTTAGCCGGTTTTTTTTTTTCTTTTTTTGAGACAGAGTCTCACCCCCTTGTCCAAGCTAGAGTGCCGTGGCATCGGCTTAGCTCACAGCAACCTCAAACCTGTGGGCTCAAGTGATCCTCCTGCTCAGCCTCCTGAGTAGCTTGGAATTTTTCTTTAAGATTTTTTAATAAAGTAAATTGATATACATTTATTTTAACTGAATCTTTGAAATGATAGAAAGTTGTAGACTTATTACATTTAATAGTGTGGGTGGTTTTTGAGTGTAATCTAAAGAGGCACACTTTCTTTGACTGCAGGCAAAATGGAAGAAAATAAAAGTAAAAAATAATAAAAAGGCCAGCAACTTTTGTAATCATACAAATTTTTAACACTTAGGACTAAGGTAGTGGAATCACATAAAATTTCCTATGATTTCCAAAGGGTAGCAATATTTGTTTTTCCTCCTACTGTTCTGGGGTTTTGGTGGGTCCTAGGAGTGTTTTTACCATGAAACTTGGTAGGTTGTATTATTGGAATCTACAAAATAAAACAGAAAAATTCAGGTCCAACAAATTGAAGTTCTATGCCCTTGAATGGAATTTTAAAATGACTGTCCTTGTGAATGAAAAATATTGTAACTCCATGTGGTACACAAAACAAAAAACTGGAAAGAGAACCTAGTAGTGTTTTGGTTTAACTTTGTTTAGACCCCAATACTTTTAATTCACTTGTGTTGAAAGTTTTATAAAAGAGGAAGACAACTTGCCTTTTTCATATTTCTCCTTCTTGCCTTAAAATCAGGGTCTTGAAGAAATAAAAGGTTGGGTTGTGCTAGTGGATTTCAAACCTTACATGTTGTAATATTATATTTAGTCAATTCTAAGATGGCATTTAAAAAAAATTTAATACAGTATTACTAAATTGATGATCGGTCTATAATCAATGGCATCTTAACAATTATAATTGGCAACATTTTTTTCTTAAGGTTACCTAAAGTAATGATGCATGCTTATAATTGATAGCATTTTAAATTCATAGAAACATGGTAATAATAGCCATCATTAATTATTGTATTCCCATAGAAATGTTACATTAAAGGTTCTCTGCATTAATGCATTATAAATTTCTGTGTTGATATTAGTGACCACCAAAACCACTCCCAATTTTTAGGATTTTTAGCAGATAAGGTGAGTTTAGTTTTTGATTCACTTTGGTTATTTCCTTTATGACCAGTTTATTTTCTTAAAAGGTGCTCACAGAATGGTGAAGGAATTAGTTTATAAAGTGGTGATAGCTACCATATCCAGCCCTCCCCTGTATCAGCCTCACAAACACTGACCAGAGACACCATTTGAGCATTTCTTATCAAGGTTACAGTTCAGGTGCTGACGACTGTCATATTTTTTTGTGTTAACATATGTTGGTCATATAATGGGGGTGGATAAGAGAAAAGAAAATACATTAGACCTGTTTTAGAAAATGAAACACATTTAAACACTTAATTAGAAATGTTAAATGTATATTAAATTATTTTTCATGAAAATAACTAATATTACCAAATACACTATTTACTTTTTACAGCAACAAGCTTTAGAACTAGCTTTGGATCGTGCAGAGGTGAGGCGTGACTAAGTTATGTATTGAAATAGTCTTGTCTTTAATTGACAAAAACTCAAATTTTAAGAGATTTTTGTATGTGATTTTCAAAGGAGTATATTAATATTATTTTGGCCAGGTATGCAAATAATTTTGCTATAAACGTAAAAATACCAGGTGATGTTTGAATCACTTGTTACTTGGAATCCACGGATAATAATGCTATGGAGTCAAAATTACTTGAACAAGAACAGAATTTCTAAAATTATGTTTTCCTATTTTGACAAGTTTGCTAATTACTCAATTAAAGGAGGAAATAGCTATAAAAAATATTCTTTACAGTTAGACATACAATTTTTTATACATTAAACATATTGAGAATATTTCTGACCTATGAAATCACAGTTGTGAAACTATTATGATTTTGCTTATAGCAGTGAAATACTGTGCTAAATCTTAGTGCAGTTTAAATTTAACCTATTTGTAACATGTATTTATTTAGAAGTTATTTCTTCTACAAGGTATAATTTAATAAGAGTCAAGAGACTTGAGTGTTTAGCCTTACATGTGTTTTAGATGTACTCAGTATGGTTGCTCATGCAAAAAAGCAAAAGGCAAACGATTTTCATAAATTTTTCTTTTTTAGTATGTCATTGAAAGTGCCCGACAGAGACCTCCTAAAAGGAAATACCTGTCAAGTGGAAGGTATGAGTATTTAATTAATTGATAACATCTTAGATTCATTGAAATAAGATGATCACCATTTATTGCATTCTATTAGGCACTGAAGTAGAAATGTGTTACAGGTTCTTTGTATACATTAGGAATTTCTAAGTTGATGTTAGCTGCCATATCCAGTTTACCCTTTTTGGAGAAATTAATGAAAATAAGTAAAAATACAGGAAAAAGCTAAAATATTTATGTCATATGATTATTATTTTAACATTTTGTATGTCTTTGGGTTTTTTTTTTTTTAGAAAATCTGTATTTCAAAAGCTTTATGACTTATATATTGAAGAATGTGAAAAAGAGCCTGAGGTTAAGGTAAATATTCTATTTTCAGTAGAGATGGGGTCTTGATTTTGCCCAGACTAGTCACAAACTTCTAAGATCAAGCAGTCCACCCGCCTTGGCCTCCCAGAGTGCTTGGATTATAGGCTTGAGCCACCATGCATCAGGCTCTTACAATTTTTATACAGTTTTTCCTGTCTTAAAATGTGTCTATGGTTCTGTTTTTTGGGCACCTTCTGTAGACATCTGGGTTTTTTTGTTTTGTTTTTTTGATACAGAGTCTCACTATGTTGCCCTTGCTAGAATGCTGTGGCGTCACAGCTCACAACAACCTCATACTCTTGGTCTTAAGTGATTCTCTTGCCTCAGCCTCCTAAGTAGCTGGGACTATGGGCACCCACCACAACGCCTGTCTATTTTTTTGTTGTTGTCACTGTTTAGCAGGCCTGGGCCAGGTTCGAACCCATTAGTCCCAGAGCATATGGCTGGCACCCTAACCACTGATCTAGGGGCACTGAGCCGACATCTGTGTTTTTATATGTTTATATAAAGTGATTTTATATTTTGCTTATTATTTTAATTTTTTACTTGTTTTTAAGAGTGCATACTTTAAGTATTTTATTTTGTAGATCACCATTTTTTATATGAGTTAATTTGAATAAAATATAACAGATCAAAATTAAATTTATATAGCTGTCCCATACATAGTGGCTATAATTTTGAGAACTGTACCCATATATTCTTGAAAATAATGTTAGAAGGAGCACCAGAAGATTAATTCAGATCTGATTTTGTTAAATCATAGCATTATTTGTTAAAGTTATACTGAATTATGTTCATGAGCTCTGCCTCTTTTTAAAGCAGAAATTAAGAAGAAATGTGAACTTGTTAGAGAAGCTTGTTATGCAAGAGAATTTATCATGTTTAGTGGTCAATCTATACCCAGGAAATGAGGGATATTCTCTGATGCTCAGGGGAAAAAATGGATCAGGTAAGACCCTTCAGAGTACAGCTGCTACACAATACCTCTGCTATGCAGGATGTGCTGTTTTTTAAAAGTAGACTTTTAACCTGTTAATAGATTGTCCTTTGGATCAGAGATGACTTGGTGGTAAAAGCAGACTTTGATCCCCAATTTTTCTCCTTAGAATATTTTGTTATACTATTAGAAATTACCTCTAATATGGTTATCCTTCCCGAACATGCATTTGAAAAGTATTCTAGTTGATACTTCTTTTAAGTCACCTTATGAGAAATACAACTTTTAAGTGATTGTCAAAATTTCCTTTATTCTATTGCTGCTTATATTTTAAAATAGTGTAAGGTTTTTAAAGGTATGTTTTCCTTGTGCATTTTGAATATACTTTGGGTCTGAAACCTCCAAAATTAAGAATACTGGCTGCCTTTTTGTAACTTTCATATATTAAAAGTGTTTCAGTTAATGTGAATATGAAAATAGAGTTTTAAAATGTGCTTGTAGATTTCACTAAAGAGGCATCTAAAAATGTGATATAATATGAATTCTACAAGGAACTTATGTAGTTAAGAATTTTTTCTTGTATTGATTAATTGTAAAGTGTAATACCAAGAGAATTTTCTTCTAAAAATGGCCATTTTTTAGGTGAGATACCAAATTACCACTCAGTTGAGATTAACCAGTCTTCAGCAGACTTTCACTTACTTTGATACTGGAATTTTATCACATTCCAATTATTTTGCTTCTGGCTTATGGATTTGGATTATACCAGATAGTTTTCCATAATATGTCAGACTTTTTTCCCCCCTCTTTCATCTAAAATTTTATATATTTAAATCATTTAGCAATATATATAATGTGATTTATTTGTAAGAGTTTTAAAAAGAACGTTAGGAAGAGCCTTCCAGTTATTTTATTTTATTTTATTATTTTATAATTTTTTTTGAGACAGTCTCAGGCTGTCACCCTGGGTAGAGTGCTGTGGTATCGTCATAGCTCACAGCAACCTCCAACTCTTGGGCTCAAGTGATCCTCATTTTTAGTAGAGACAGTTTGCTCAGGCTGTGAGCTCAAGCATTCCTCTTGCCTTGGCCGCCCAGAGTGCTAGGATTAAAGGCGTGAGCTACTGCGCTCAGCTACAGTTCTGTATATTTTTTTATGAAGAGTCATATAAATTACATAACTAAGCTTTTCAGGGAGCCTGATCTTTTTTTAAACTTTGTTTTAAAATTAAGATTCTGAGACCATTCGATTGCCTTATGAAGAAGGGGAATTGCTTGAATACTTGGATGCAGAAGAATTACCTCCTATTTTGGTTGATCTCCTAGAAAAATCTCAGGTACAAATTTTTTTCTGTTTAAAATGTCCTTGATTTGGGGCAGCACCTGTGGCTCAGTGAGTAGGACACCGGCCCCATATTCCAAGATTGGTGGGTTCAAACCCAGCCCTGGCCAAACTGCAACAAAAAAATAGCCAGGCCTTGTGGCAGGCACCTGTAGTCCAAGCTACTCGGGATGCTGAGGCAGGAGAATCACCTAAACCCAAGAGTTGGAGGTTGCTGTGAGCTGTGTGACACTATCACGGCACTCTACTGAGGGGAGAAAGTGAGACTCTGTCTCAAAAAAAAAAGTCCTTGATTTGTCATATGTATGGGATATACACATATGTTATGTGCTAAATGATATTTAATCTTTACCAGAGTTTCAAACATTATTTAGAACATGCAATGAGACATTATACATAGCTTTGTGGAAATTATGTAGCAATTGGCTCATCAATTGGAAATCTCTGTATAGTTACAAACAGGAAATTATGAAAGAAACTACTTTGAATATTTGTGGAGTTTTTCTCTTGAGGCCCAGAAACTGTCCAGAAACTAAGGAGACCTATACATCTCTTCATAGCCAGCCTAGGTGATTGCTCTCCTGACTCTCTTGCCCTGCTCTCCTTCCTTCCTACTGCTTTAACTTAACCCCAGTTATACTATGTATGGCTTTTCCTTCACAGAGGAAAAAGAAACCATCATATGAGAACTCCTATTCTTCATACCTCCAGTCAACTATCATCCATACATCTTTCCACACTTTCTACTTGTCTTCTTGTTAAAATGGATGAAGTATGGTGTTCCTGAGACATCTGTCACCTTCACTTGTTTGCTCTGTCCTCCCCTTCCTTCTCAAGGGCTTGTAAAAATAACCTTTCTTTTCCTTCACTAGTAGATACATAATGTAAGCATCCAGTACAGGTCGAACATCTCAAATAGGAAAATTCAAAACAAAGATTCTCTAAAATCAAAACTTTTTTTTTTTTTT